GATGACTAAAAAACGGAAAAAATTCAGTAAAATTTAAAACACTAACTAATGTACTGCATGAAGTTGCATAAGCTGTACAGGTATAGATATTTGTATTCGGTTGTATTGTGTACACTATATAAAATGACAACTTATAAGTCGTGCAAACCTCAAGCAGTGAAGTCGCTTTGGTTTATTTCAAAGCTTGCAGAGCATTCTGATTGGGTACGATACTGTCTCGGAAATTTTATAAAAAAGTTTAGAAGGTGTTTATGGGACCAAAAATCCTTGCCATATCAGCTTCAAATCATTCAACTTTAACATGCAAAAAACTTAGGTGGGTTTGGTTAGATTAGGTTAGTCTCCCCATCCCACATAAAGATTAAAAGGTACACACACACACACACACACACCCTCTAAACGTCCTATTTACACAAACACACAAAAGTTCCCCCCAAACAGTTTTGTACCAATTTTGAACTCCAGAAGTGACTCGCTCGGAAAGCAGTCAGCCACACCAATTCTCCATTATTTATTATTTATAACACCTTCAATTTTATATGAATTTCTAATAGTTATCCTTTTTTTACATTGTAGTTAGGATACAGTTTCATCAAATTAATTTTTTTTACCATTCTGTCTTGGATGTGAACGTGGGGTTGTGTATAGAATAAGACAAGTGATCGCGGGCCCTACGTGCCCTTGTGAAAGTTATAACGCTCGTGACAGCGTACAGCGAATGAGGGTGCGCCAAGTCCGTAGACTTGCATCGTTTTCCATCGGAAATAAAATGGTTAATTAATGCCTTCCTAAAGAAACCATCGACATGGGACCAGGTTTGTTCCAATCTACGATTTTTTTGCGATTTTTCCACCAAGTTTGATGAAAAATGATTGTGCCGTTTCGGTTGCCCAGAACAGACAGACAGACGGCTAGTCCTATAGTATATTAGATGTTTTTAAATTTCCCATTATCTTTTTTTCATTGCCAAACGGTTTTAATACTTTTCTACACTGTCCCACATTCATATTTCTCAAAACCAAGTTCATACCACATCTTTTGTTTACATCACGGATAAATAGTCTTCGCGTATATTTTGGTTCACATATTTCCGGTATTGAGTATTTGTAATTTCCATTTGTTGCTGTCCTGAGTATCCTGTTACCTTTGTAACTGAGACTTGATACAGTTTTATATTGGTTATGTTCTGTACATTTGTATATTTTGGGGATAAACTTGTGCATCTCATTTACTGGATAGTGATGTAGAAAACTGACGAAAAATACATATACTGTAGATACAAATTAACATTACTTACTTAACTAGTTCACATATCAACACTTAAACGTATAGCCTTAGTGCGTAGTGACTTGGAAGACTTTTTTCTCTGTGTTTTTATGTACAGTACTTTGTAAATTAATCTTGTTTTACTATTGATGTTGAAAGTGTATGTTTGAAACACTTTCTGATGATAAAATCTAAGACTATGGTGATATATCTTGTCTGTAGTTAGGCATTTTGGATTTTTGCTTCTTTCCTAATATTTGTCGACATCTGAATAAATAAAATGCTTCACTTTATGAATTTTGGAAGTTGGTATCACTGGTCGAGTTATCTGTTTGACTTTCTTCACTTGTATATGGCGGGTATGAACCTTCCAAAGCCATGAACAATTAAAAGAAGCTTCACTCATTAACATAAACAAATACTTCAATCTGATTGGCCAAGTCGCGTACTGCATTGTGAAGTAATAACTCTGGCTACTCCTGCAACCTAACCAAATCTTTCCATATGACGTAAATATCTATGGTGCTATTATGATGTCAGACTTGGTAAACATGCCCGGGGGTTCAGTAGGTGTGATTCTTCCATGACTCGTAGGAGTTGTCATCATATGAGTTGTAAGTGAGTCGGTTGAAGACGCCAAATTCTTCGTCGTTCTCCTCCAGCAGTGTGTGTCTCCCGTACCGCGCGGTGTACAGGCTGCCGGTACAGACACATATTGAGACATTCTTATTTATACTTTAGCCAGAGTAATACAGACACAAAGATGAGTTTAAGGTAAGGATAAGGAAGATTAGGGTAAGGTTAGGGGATACAGGGATAAGGTTAGGAGAGATTAGGGGTAAGGTTAGGTGAGGTTAGAGTATGGTTAGGTGAGGTTAGAGTTATGGTTAGATGAGGTTAGAGTTATGGTTAGGTGAGGTTAGAGTATGGTTAGGTGAGGTTAGAGTTATGGTTAGATGAGGTTAGAGTATGGTTAGGTGAGGTTAGAGTATGGTTAGATGATAAATAAATCCTAAAATAAAAATTATGGTAGGCAACGGGGAACTAAAACAAGTGGAAAATTGTGTGTATTTAGGAAATAACATCAACTGGGATGGTAGATGTGTGAAATTAATCATAACAAGAATAGGTCAAGCAAAAACAGCATTGAGTAAACTAAAAGACTTAATAAAAGGGGACAGGTGGTGTTATAGGCGAATGCTAAAAATAAGTTACATTAACAGGAAAGCTAGAGAAATACTTGAAGTGTACAGAAAACGTAATTAGATACTTTGATCATATAATTAGGGATGAGGGGATAATAACAGAAATATTAATAAGGACATAAGAATGGAGGAAACTGCATCGGGCGTATTGGCCCATACTGGGCAGTCCCGTTTACACCCAACCCCTATTGCTCATATATACGTCCAACCTATATTTGAAGCTACCCAGCGTGTTAGAGTTAATGATGATGTTTGGTAACTTGTTCCACTCATCCACTAATGGACAAAGTTAAGGGTAGGAGGACCAGGGGAAGGCAGAGTCTGGGATGGAGGCTTGGTAAAAACTGCCTAAGAACGTTGAGAGTGGACGACTGTGGACTTTAGGATTGGCTAGATTATATTAGTTCGTATTTCGTTTAGTTAGGTTAAAATGCAGTTTAGGGCACTGAAGGTTAGCCAATGTTAAATCACTTTAGAATACTTTAAGTTAAGTTAAATTAGTTTAGGTTAATTTAAGCTAAGTTATTCTATGCTAGGTTACTTTGTTTAATGTCACTTTGCTAAATTCCTGAGAAATTGAGTTCAGATTAACGTTAACTAGTTTATTATTATTATTATTATTATTATTATTATTATTATTATTATTAACTTAAGGTGAAATCTCTTCCAACAACTGAAATAATTACTTTATTCTCCTGAACCAGACGCCAATAACGGTGACGGTGAGAGCAATAGTGATGATGGACAACGATACGAGGATAACCTTGGTGTGGGTCGACAGAGAATTCCCGCCTGAGTGTATGTTGGCAGCCCTGTAATATAAAGAGAGAAGTTACTAGGCTATTTATGGCGTTCTCGTCCAGAAAGAAAATCACGGGAAGTAATTAGACAAGTCACCCTTAAATAATGATAATAACCTATAAGAATTTATTGCCAGGAACAAGAGAATGTGTGTATATTTGCATTGTACACAAACAACCACACACACACACGGCTTTGATCATTATTTATTACTATATAAAACAATAAGCAGATAAGAGCTAACGAAGAAAAGTTCTACCTCGCTGGGAATTGATTCTGAACAGTGTCGAGGTGTTGGTTCTGCTTGCTCTCTGTTACAGCCTTCGTCAGCGTAGCTACGGTAGCTTCAGGTTTCCTGTTGTGTGCGTGAAATATTGCACCGGGAGGCAGAGGTTGTTTTGCCGGTTCTAGCTTTTTGGGAGTTGGTTTCTGAGTGGCTTTTGGGGTTGGTTTTGGCGTTGGCTTTGGAGTTGGTTTTGGCGTTGCCTTTGGGGTTGGCTTTGGAGTTGGTTTTGGCGTTGGCTTTGGAGTTGGTTTTGGCGTTGCCTTTGGGGTTGCCTTTGGTGTTGGTTTTGGCGTTGGCTTTGGAGTTGGTTTTGGCGTTGCCTTTGGGGTTGGCTTTGGAGTTGGTTTTGGCGTTGGCTTTGGAGTTGGGTTTGGCGTTGCCTTTGGGGTTGCCTTTGGTGTTGGTTTTGGCGTTGGCTTTGGAGTTGGTTTTGGCGTTGCCTTTGGTGTTGGTTTTGGCGTTGCCTTTGGCGTTGGCTTTGGAGTTGGTTTTGGCGTTGCCTTTGGGGTTGGCTTTTCGGTAGCCTTTGGCGTTGGCTTTGGAGTTGGCTTTTCGGTAGCCTTTGGAGTTGGCTTTTCGGTAGCCTTTGGAGTTGGCTTTTCGGTAGCCTTTGGAGTTGGCTTTTTGGTGGCCTTTGGCATTGGCTTTTCGGTAGCCTTTGGAGTTGGCTTTTCGGTAGCCTTTGGAGTTGGCTTTGGAGTTGGCTTTTTGGTGGCCTTTGGCATTGGCTTTTCGGTAGCCTTTGGCGTTAAGTTTGGAGTTGGTTTTGGAGTTGGCTTTTCGGTAGCCTTTGGCGTTGGCTTTGGAATTGGCCTTTCGGTAGCCTCTGGGGTTTCAGGTTCTTCAGCAGATGGTGATTCTGCTTCAGGTTCAACAGTATCTGATACAGCAGGAGATTCAGGTTCATCCTTCGTTACCTCGGGCTTGACCTTAACCCCTGCTAAAGGTGGTGTATGTACGGGCTCATCTCCGCTCTCTGGTTGGTCATTTTTTTTAGCCTTAATTTTTGTCTGTCTCAGCTCTTTCAGTTTCTTAGTGAGGGTTTGTTGCTGGGAGGGCTCGTCCGCTGATGTTACTTCCGCATTGGGACCTGGGGAAGAGAGATCTTGTTAACTGATGAAACAAGAGAAAGAAATGAAAACATCTCCTTTCTGTTGTATGATAGAAAGGGGTAATTATGATGAGACAGGATCTATTTTCATTAGAATGGCACCATTTTGATTCAGATTTAGTAATATTATGAATAAAATCTGTCTCAGTGTGGGAAAACAAAGAAAAGTAATCATAGGAATAATTTGAGGAATGAGTAATTAGAAGCCTCGTATATACTCTCCAGGTACTGAATACATTTGGGAGCGTCGACGTGGTATATAAGTCTAGTTGAGCTCACTTAAAAAAGTATTTACAAGTGGCTGTCATGCGAGACGTGACTCTAGGTTTCCACTAACATTTAGATAAAGAAAGATAACCTTATCCATTGATAATCACAACTGAGCGCCACACGCGGATCCCACTCGTTCCTCTGACGCATGCGCCCCTCTTAACCTACTCAGTTATAATTTAGTAACTACTCTTGCTAGGTAGTCAAGCCAACGAACCACAAGATAATTAATCAACTTTTGTTTATGTCCTGTAACAACCACCTGTAAATATTTTTCTAGGTCTTCCTGATCCACAAAACACTGAAAGTACAGTACATGTTGACATCACCCCTCAGTGAAGCGTATCTTTACCCTCCAAATTATTCTACTGTACCCGGGTTATAATACTGACTAGCACCGTAATTTATGAGAGAGGAGGCGAGACCAGCTTAGCTTATTTGTTTTTTTTTTCATTTTGATTAGATTATGATTATTTTCACTTGGTGGAATAGCTGACACAGGTTGATTATGAGAGCACTTACACCACAGCCGTTCAGACATCCAACACTTGGAATTTCATGTAGCCAGACTTTACATACTTCGATTATTGTTACAAAAATACAACCAACATGGTATAGTTCCCAACAAACTATAATGTCGTAACTTTTCCCTAAAAATTACTAGACAATAGAATACAATAAGATACATTTATATGTGGTCTATTTATCAAGGCATTTACGTAGTATGGTCATCATTACCGCCAGTATTCACTTAGCATTGTGTAGCAAAATGTTTTAATGTAATTATTTCCAGTTTCAGCTGAAGAATCTCCTCCCACCGTTACCTCGGGAGGAGACTCTTGTGATCTGAAGTCATTAGATGATATTACAGTACATTCTGCTCCACGACCCAGCACTATTACAGTATATAGTACTTAAATTCTTCCCCATAGATGGCGTATCGTATCTAACAGCCTATTATAACGCTTTCAATTTAATATTAATCTACCCTCACAGCCAAGATATTCAGCCACACAATCTGAGAATTATATTCGGTTACAGAGGCATTAAAGGTTCTACATTTATTCAATATATGTCATCCAATTTAGACATGTTACTCGCTATGAAATTCAAGGCGCTAAACTTAACACACTCCGAACTAGTGACGAAATCTTCCGAACCAGTGACGAAATCTTCCTCTACGCCAGCACATGACAGCACTTACCTCCATACACTCATGACAGAAGCTTACCTGTGATGTTGTCTCCCTGTACCACCCCGTAAGCCACACATATTAATAACACTAAAGGTAATAACACCTTCATGGCTGCACTTGCTCGGAGAGGTGAACACAGCGCGGTGATGGCGTTGTTGTTTGTGATTGCCCCAGTGATCTTATCTTACTGATTGTGTTGATAACTTTACAAGAACAATGGCGTCACGTGAATTATAAGACTGTAATCCATATCGTTATGCTGCATAATTACGCACAGAAGAGTATCATTTAGAGGAGGTTTATAAGCATGGAACAGTATTAATGTCAAGAATACTCTCCTGTTAGTCTCATTAGTACAGAGTCTGTATTTAGTCTTTACCCAGAATTCCTCTTTGCGCTATGCAGGAAACTGTGTTCATGTAAAGATTCATTGTTTCATATTCACCGATACACCGAAAAGCAAAGTTCATGGATACTTATATTTTCAGCTACAAATACTATAAACAAATTGGTGTGTTTACAGTGTACAGTAGTTTGTTATGTATTAGATCAATTTGATGGAGTTTCATAATGCTTAACGATTATTGTGGTATCATGAACACTTCTACAAATGAATTACTGCACCGTGAAGTTTGACTTAGGTTCGAAATGTCTCAACTTATAGCTCGTTCTTGTTCCTGTACTGTTTTGGTCGCTATTTCGGAACAGTTTTGATCGTTGCCTCTGTTTAGTATCCATTTATTCTTTTGTCCGAGTGAAGTGAGGGAAGGTGGACGTGTCTCTGAAGAGCGCCGTGGGTGTAGCAGAAACAGGAGTTACACATTTATTAAGCGTCAAGTTAATGCTACAATGTCCAACGTCGAGGTACCGAAATCTGCGAAAGAAAGGTATGTTAAATGAGTGTTAATCTGTGTTTATTGCGGAGTTATTACGACATACACGTTAATGCTGTTATTGTCACCGGGAATTAGTGTTTCAGTGTTATAATGTTCACCAGTGTCTTAGATTATTTTTGGTGTTGATGATTAGAAAATTGATAATATCTGTTTATTTGATGTGAAGCCTACCTGTTGGATGTGTGAAGACGTTGTTAAGGTGTGTGTGTAGCTCTTACCTGCAGTAATAATCTCGTTTACAAGGTGTTCGTAGTTGACAATAGACTTTACTCAGATGTAAACACACTACTTAACTTGGATCATCCATTAGGGCCTAGATAACGGCTACCACCAGAAGGAATTGTCCGAATTGGATGAATTTTTTCTACTCACTAATATGATATTAAACACAAAAATGGAAACGACAATGCATAGAACCTAATAGAACCTGACCTAATATATCCATAGAAGGAATTCGTGGAAGCGTTCACAATCATTTAGGAAACGTCTCTTGAAGAGGGATTCAGTAAGATAAACAACAAAAATGGCGCCGGGGGGAGAATTGTGAAGCGGGATAGAGTAAAAAAATAAACTACTTAAAATCATAATAGAAAGTTGTCGTATCTTTTAATATATTTAAAATAATCAAAACAATAAGTAAAGCAAAAATAAAGAAAATCAACAAACAACTTCTGGTATTAGCCGTTATTTACACCATTAATAGTGATGATGTACTTGTATATTTGTAACATAACTGAATAATGACATATCTTAATAAACCTATTAGCTATACGATAGATTATCCAGCCAGTAACTTAATCTAGGATGTAGCTGAGTAACTATCGACCGTCGAACATTCACGCCATCCTTGTGTTTGCAGTCATGAAATTCCTACGACTAAGGCGCTGCCGGTGTCCAGGAGCACAGACCGTCGCTACAGTGAGGTGAGTTCCGTCTTGGGTCTCATGTAACGTAAGTGATTAAGACTGTGGACGATTTGTATTACCCTAAACAGAAGTTAGGTTAGGTTAGGTTCCTCCTCTGTCTTGTTTGCAGGAAGTTAATTCAAAGCATTTATTTTACGTTGCCCAGACACCAGATTTGCATTCTGTGGATTAAAACAAAATATTAATGAGCTTCCCGTCAAAAAATAAATAAAAAAAAAGATTCTGGAACTATGGTGACCATATACAGCTTTACTTTACATTACTTTACTTTGAAACTTTAAGTGTGGTAAAGCCCATTTCTTTGTCCCAATACAGTAGTTCGATAATAATACTTAACATCTCTTCCTCGTCGTAATATTTTTGTCTTTACGTGTTTATGAAGGATCTGGGCAAATTAGGCTCTAATTTGAATTCTCCTATACTATAAATTATAATTGTTAATATCCAGTAAACTTATTATTTCATATTCGAATAATTTTTTTTATTAAATTTGGTAGTTAAGATATAAATTTTCACTTCCTACTAACTATACTTTCTTTTTTCCTAGTTATTTCACCCTATTTAAACACTTACATTATTAGCTCCTCCGAATAAAGAAATATATCGCTACGCTTTTCGCTACAAGAATCATCGAATAGAATGGCCAGTCTTAATTGATGGCCTTCTTTGTGTGTGACTCCCGTAGGTGGTACAAGAGTATATGCGGAAGAAGCAGAGTCGACAAGGCTCTGCCAGCAGCTACATCATCCAGCCCTCGGAGGTGCTCACCCAGCAAGCCGACCAATCAGGACCCAACGGTACCTCCTATGTAAGGTGCGTTATGGCCTTGAGTCTTGCTGTCCTCTGCGTGTCATGATCACTCTAGGGTGTGTTATATTGTCCTCTGTGGTGCCATGTTGTTCTTTGGGAGTGCCATGATTATTGTAGGGTGTGCCATATTATCCTCTGTGGTGCCATGTTGTTCTTTGGGAGTGCCATGATTATTGTAGGGTGTGCCATATTATCCTCTGTAAGTGGCTTGATCACTATACGATGTGCCATGCTGTCCTTAAGGGTTACTATAATCTCTGAGGATGCCATGTTATCCTCTTGGGTGCCATATGATCTATTGGCTTTATACTTCTGGGGTGCCATATTATTCTCTGAGGTGTCCTGCTAATGCCTCGGGTGCCATAATGTCATCTGGAGCGGCATGTTGATCCCCTAGTGCCATGTTATCCTCCCTAGTGCCATGTTATCCTCCCTAGTGCCATGCTGTCCTCCCTAGTGCCATGTTATCCTCCCTAGTGCCATGTTATCCTCCCTAGTGCCATGCTGCCCTCCCTAGTGCCATGCCATGTGCCATGTCCTCCCTAGTGCCATGTTATCCTCCCTAGTGCCATGTTATCCTCCCTAGTGCCATGTTGTCCTCCCCTAGTGCCATGTTGTCCTCCCTAGTGCCATGCCCCTCCTAGTGCCATGTTGTCTCCCTAGTGCCATGTTATCCCCTAGTGCCATGCTGCCTCCCCTAGTGCCATGTTGTCCTCCCCTAATGCCATGTTGTCCTCCCTAGTGCCATGTTGCCATATTGTTGTGTGTAGTGCCACCCCCCCCCTAGTGCCATGTTGTCCTCCCTAGTGCCATGTTGTCCTAGTGCCATGTTGTCCTCCCCTAGTGCCATGTCCTCCCCCATGTCCTCCCTAGTGCCATGTTGTCCTCCCTAGTGCCATGTTGTCCTCCCTAGTGCCATGCTGTCCCTAGTGCCATGCTGTCCTCCCTAGTGCCATGCTGTCCTCCCTAGTGCCATGCTGTCCTCCCTAGTGCCATGCTGTCCTCCCTAGTGCCATGCTGTCCTCCTTAGTGCCATGTTGTCCCCCCTAGTACCATGTCCTCCACACACACACACCTGTATGTTATCAGTATCATCGCTTCTGTCTCGTACTGTACAGTTGGGACCCACCTGACACCCCCAGGAGCCAGAGACCCCAGAACCCCGAAGGTAACCAGAGCGATGACCCCCGTGCCACCACCACCACCGCCCCGGGGACACCTGAGAAGGACTTGGGGGTACCACTACTAGACGTTAGCCGTGGATCAGTAACCCCGACCAATAGAAGTAGTAATGAGGACTCCTTCACAACAGCTAAATCGAACTTAACCCGCTCTAGGTCCCCTCAGAATCACGGGTCAAAGTCTGCAGTAGGATCACAACGCAGCCCCGGATCTCCATTCACCTACTACGTTACTCCCTCGACGATCAATCACTTCCATGGGAATTTGAAGGTGAGAGAGGATAGAAGACTGTTGAAGGGAAGGTGTCTTTACAGTTTTGGTGTTATGCAATGTAGGTAAGCCATTGACTTACGTTTCGGTGTATCTCCATTAAATAAGTAAAGGGACTGTACCCATTATCCTGTAGGAGGGGAGGATGGAGGTCATGATAAGATTATTTATTACTCATACAATTCTCTAAACATAGACCTCATTTACCCATCACCTGTGAGTGTTGCTTTAACCATTTCCTTTCCCTTAGACGGTAGAACTGAACACCGAAAACTTCCTTCCCTTCCTTTTTTACCCAATGATAAGTGGTAGAACTAAACACCGAAAACTCCATCCCTCCCTTCCTTCCTTTCGACTCCATGAAGCAGTGAAGAGAATGCCTCAGTCTCTCTCCTTTATGGATGATCTTTTCAGTTAATCTTTCTCTTTCTTTGTCTCTATTTTTCTCTCTCTGTATGATGTCTGCTTCTCTCAATCTGCCATTAGTCTGTCTGTCTGTCTTCTGCTCGTGTGTCTCTCTCTCTCTCTCACAACACCTTATTCTTCACCACCTCACCTCACCCCTCCGCCCCCAGAGCACCCCGAAGGAGGAGGAGGAGGAACAACAACAGCAGCAGCAGAAGACATCAACCTTCCACTCCCCAGGGTCCAGAGTTAACGGCACCCCGAGGAACACTAGCAAACATCCTGCCATTAAGGTGATCTCTGCTGGGGGTTCACCAAGACACCTTCTGAGTGAGTACCTGAGTGCCTGACGGTGGGGTGGGAGAGGGGAGAGATTAGGGTGAGTTGAGTGAGATTAGGGTGAATTGGGGTAGATAGTAACCTCCTACACTGCCCCCGTTACCTCCCCCGACAGGAGCGACCGACAACGAAGGCAACGATGAGTCACAAAGTGCGCCATTTCCTGATCAACCTTTCTTCACACCTGCCTACTTCGACCACAGGTGAGTCTCCAGCACTCATCTACACTACCTGGGCTGGATTAGGGCGGAAATGGGATGGATAAAGGGAGTGGATAAGAAGGGAGTGGAGGTGGATAGGGAATGGGATGGATGGGGAGTGGGTGGATAGGGAATGGGGTGGATATAGGGAATGGGGTGTGGTGGATAGGGAGTGGGATGGATAAAGGGAATAGGGTGGTTGTAGGGAATTGGGGTGGATTAGAGTGGAGTGGAGGTGGATAGGGAATTTGATGTCATTGTGAACGGTGTAGGGAGTGAAGTTAAGCTGTGGATGATGATGATGGAGGAAAAAACACATTATTATTTTCTTAATTTTTTTCAAGATTATTTAGTATTTCACGTATTGACTAAACCTCCCTCGTACGTTTATGTTCAGTAATAAACAAGTAAATAACAAATAGTCCTTGTAATTTAAATTTGTTCATATATAAAGAATTTCAATTTTCCTGGAGTCACCTTAACACCACAGCACTATAACATTTGACTCTGAGAAGCCAAATCAACAAGACCCGAGTGAGATTTATTTGGTGAATCGCAGTGTTGATGGCCAGAGTGAACCGCAGCGGAACCAGCAGCGACCATCTCCCCTGACGAACACCACCACTGGCAACGAGGAGCACCGAGTGATAGAGGGAGAGAGGTGGGTGTGTTGGTGGAGTGAGAGGTGGGTGTGTTGGAGTGAGGTGGAGAGAGGGGTGGAGAGAGAGGTGGGTGTGTTGGTGGAGTGAGGTGGAGAGAGAGGTGGGTGTGTTGGTGGAGTGAGGTGGAGAGAGGGGTGGGTCAGTATATGGAAGGAGGAAAGGATGGAAGGGAGAGAAGGAAATGAGAGAGAGAGAGTTCAGTAAATTAGGGGATGAAAGGAAGAGAGAAGGAAATAAGGGAGAGATAGAAAGGTGATTGCAGGGTGGGGTGAGGCTGTTAATGACTGCCACGAGGAAAGGGTCACTATTGATGTTGTGTTAGCAGCGTGTACAGTATAATGACCTTGAGCTTTTAGTGTATATTTCTGCCATTCTGAGTGTGTGATTGCTCTGACATTTGTGGCTCCGTGATCTTTTCCGGACGACTTTTTTTTTTTTAATTTGACCTCTGACTGAGTTCCTGTGACTGACCATTTCTGACTGTGTGACCTTTCTGACTGAGCTTTTCTGATTATTCGAGCTTCTGTGACTGTGATCATCTGTGACCATTTGGCCTCTTTAACACAGCTTGACCAGAGAATCGTATCGTCCTCAGGTATTCACAGGAGGCGAGCATTAACTCTAGCCCACAGTTCATGCCCTTCGTTCGCCCCCTCGCCCTCAACTTCGAGAACGCGTCAGATCGAGGCTCAGACACCAAATCAGACCGCACCATGTTAGGTCAAGGCTTCGATCTCAGACCACACCAGCCCATGTTAGGTCAAGGCTCCGCTGAAGATAGTTCATCCCAGTTTATATCATGTCGGGGTTCTGATGCCAGGTGAGGAGGAAATATTAAGCACATCTCAAGCTCTTAAGTGTAGTCGCAGAGGCTTTGTTTGTCTTGACCTTTCATATCTTGAGAATCTGACTTAATCCCAGGAACTGTTGACACAAAACACACACACACGAGACAAACATACTTGAACAACAACAGTTATAAGCATTAAGTATATAAAAAAAGACAAGTAATACGTAGTAGTTGTAACAAGCCACCACTGACGTATCTCACAGGGATGACAATGATTTGCTTTTTGTTTTCGTGATTTTTTTTCGTGTATTTATTTTGGCCTTTATATATTGGCGTTGATGGCGTGTGATGGGCCAGCCAGAGCTTAGAGGAGGCAGTGGGGACCCTCAACTACCCTCCTGACGAGACCAGCGCCACTCAATACTCGATCAACTTTTCCAACTCCCCGTTCTCAGGTATGTTCCTCTTCCCTTGTATGTCCCCCTTCCCTTGTATGTCCCCCTTCCCTTGTATGTCCCCCTTCCCTTGTATGTCCCCCTTCCTTGTATGTATGTCCCCCTTCCCCCTTCCTTGTATGTCCCCCTTGTATGTCCCTTCCTTGTATGTCCTTCCTTGTATGTCCCCCTTTCCCTTGTATGTCCCCTTTCCTTGTATGTCCCCTTTCCTTGTATGTCCTCCTTCCCATTTTCTATCCACCTCCTATCTCCCTTCATCTACCCCCAACATCCTCTTTATCTTCGTCTCTACACCACCCCCTCCCTCTCTACCCCTCCACCACCCCCTCTCTACCCCTCCACCACCCCCTCTCTACCCCTCCACCTGCTCCTCTTCTCAATACCCACTCTACCTTCTTTTCACAGCCACAATTTCTTCGCCGCTTCCTTGGACACCTTGGTCTGGCGGGAGGAATACCTCGTCCCGGCCAACCACTCCTGAAGACATAAGGGCCCTTGAGAAGACCCTCCGTAAACAGAAGCGCATAGCCTGGTGCTTCGTAGTATCAGCGCTGATCCTGCTGGTGGTCACTGCGGCCACTGTCCTCGCCCTAGAGAGTAGGTGGTCTTTGTACAGGGAGTTTAAGGGGTTGAGATGGAGAGGGGGGGGGGCTTGGGTTTGGTGAGGGGGCTTAAGTGGTCAAGATGGAGGGAGAGGGGGGATTTTATGTGCTGTGATGGATATTTTAAGTGGTCTTGGTGGAGGGGGTTTGAAGTGTCGTAAGATTTGTACAGTCACCCACTAAAGTCCTGTCGCTTCTCCTGAATCACGAAATTTAGACTCATGAATCCGAAGCATTTATGGAGAATGTATCAATCTCCTGCTTCGAGTTCACCGAATCATGAATCTCTGGCTTCGGATTTCAGGAAGAGAGGGGAATGGATTTGAGTAGTTGACTGTACATACCAAGTAACACCAAATAGACTTATCTCCTGTCTTTCCTACCTTCTCCTCCCCTACAGTACCAGCACTCAAGAACAAGGAACCTGTCGACCCTCTCCCACATGTCAGTAGAGTTATTATGGATACCGTGTCTGAGATGGTCATGGAAACAACTGGTAGGTGATTGCTCGGGTTATCATTTTTAACTTCTGTTTTTAGTTTCACATTCTGGATTGATAAATTTAATCCCGTTTTAATTAATGGAATATTATTTTTTTTTTTTTACTTGTTTTTTTAAAGACTTTCCTCTCTGTATAATTCGTTAAATAGAGGTTTTATTATGATAGTTGTGAAGGATGACTGCCACTTCTTGTTGGGTCATGACAATGGCTCCTTGAATGACCTGACCTGGTGGAGATAAAAGTCAATAGGTCAAGACTGTTGGAGTTTTGAAGCCACAGGAGGGAGTGGTTTTACGGGTGAATGGAAAAACAAAAGTTATAAGGAAAAAGTCAGAAAAAAGTTACAATTCTGGTTAGGTTAGGTTGAAATAAACCCGGGTCTCTAATATTTAAGTGGTCCTAAATGGCTATGGCTATGAACTGATACCCTTAATGTTTGACTAAATATTGATCCTATAAACTAGACTAGACGTATACACAGACATATAAATAAATACTAAAATAGCGATTGATTTCGGTCTTTTAATTTCGTGCTCTCGACTGTAGACTATATCACTTATGGCTATTATTGATTATTATTATTTGCAATATTTTTGTTATTTACATTGGGTTAGTCTTCCTTCTATCCTTCCATTGCAGTGGGGACGAAATCTTCCGCCGCCTCTTCCTCTTCCTCTTCCACGCCAGCCAGCACGGGGCCTTCCGTCTCCTCCTCCACCCCAGCCACGACTGTATCTTCTCTCTCCTTCTCCTCCTCTCCCACTCCAGCCGCGATAGAACCTTCTGTCTCCTCCTCCTCCACTTCAGCCGGGATAGAACCTTCTGTCTCCTCCTCCTCTTCCACTCCGGCCGCGATAGAACCTTCTGTCTCCTCCTCCTCTTCCACTCCACCCGGGATAGAACCGTCCGTCTCCTCCTCCTCCACTTCAGCCTGGATAGAACCTTCCGTTTCCTCCTCCTCCACTCCAGCCAGGACAACTTCTGTCTCTTCCTCCCCCGCCATAAGCGAGAGGAAGTCTCCTGTCCCAGGCGGCGCTATGGTAGAGTTGTCAACGAAATCTTATGATCACTCTATCTCTCATGTCTCAGATAAATTAAACGTTGTCAGTGATTTGAAAAAGTTGATGGAATCGACGAAGGTCTTAGGCCCCTCTAGCAAGCCTTATGGTGCTGACTCGGGCGTCTCACATCAGCCATCGTCTCCACAACCCCCTTCTGGTGCTGACTCGGGCGTCTCACACCAGCCATCGTCTCCACAACCCCCTTCTGGTGCTGACTCGGGCGTCTCACACCAGCCATCGTCTCCACAAACCCCTCCTGGTGCTGACTGGGACACATCAGCCATCACCTCCATCGTCTCCAACCTCTTCTGGCGCTGACTCGGGCGTCTCATCAGCCATCGTCTCCACAACCCCTTCTGGTGCTGACTCACATCACATCAGCCATCACCTCCATCGTCTCCACAACCTCCTCCTGGCGCTGACTCGGGCGTCTCACATCAGCCATCGTCTCCACAACCCCCTTCTGGTGCTGACTCGGGCGTCTCACATCAGCCATCACCTCCATCGTCTCCACAACCTCCTCCTGGCGCTGACTCGGGCGTCTCACATCAGCCATCGTCTCCACAACCCCCTTCTGGTGCTGACTCGGGCGTCTCACATCAGCCATCGTCTCCACAAACCCCTTCTGGTGCTGACTCGGGCGTCTCACATCAGCCATCACCTCCATCGTCTCCACAACCTCCATCCCAGGAAGACGAACACCTCAAGATGATGCCTTCTCGACCAGATTATCTTTCCCGTAATAAGCCCTAGTTTGAATGATCAGAATTAAGGAAGGGACTAGCTAGCTCACGTACTAAATAAAGCTGCCTATTGATGGCTAGTTGCTACTGGAAGTTATGAGCTGGAATCTTCAAGAGTACACACTCCAACAGGTAGTTACTGATATATAAACACTAGCATACACGAGACTGGAATTTGTATGCTTAACCCTGAATAACTGACGGGATATGGCGGTGTTGTATTAAAGTGAGACGTTTCAACTATTATTTATACAACATACAACTCCACAAATAACTCCGGGTTGTGTACACTATTGTTATTCCTCGTCTGTGTTGGCTGATGGAAGCAACACAGCACTTGCTCAGTCTCTACTCCGCCGTGTGATGTTTACATTAACCAAGGTACTGAAACTAATGTGTCTATACACTTCACATTGAAAAAGTTTCCTGTGGTTCCTCATCTCATGGCAAAAAACAATTGAAACTTTGACTTTTAGTTTTATGTTGATACAGCTTGTGAAATAATACTCCACAATATAACACGGATTTATTATTTTTTATATTTACGGTGTATCCACAATATAACACTGAATTCGTATAGATTTTACATTAGTGATATATTGTCGATTTCCTAATAAGGTAGTGTTTGGATATTGGCATCATGTATGTAGAAGCACTGTACTTGATGTATGGGGGGATTAGGTAAGTAGTAAGTATGTAAGAGTTTATAAATATTACTCACTAATCTTGTAGAATATAAACACGAGACGCAATTAACTAAATTATCTTATTGTCCCGAATCAAGGGAGAGTATGTAAGGTGGATTTTCTTAATGATTTCCTGTCTTTTTTATTGTCTTATGACTTTTAACTTAATGTAAAGAGAGATTTTGTTGGTTTTATATAAAAAAAATAACAAAAGACGTTTATTTATCTACCATCTGGTAATTGTGATTCATTCCTTAGAACTGTTCATCTTGTCTCGACCATAGAGCTGTGTCTGGCCTCTCATCTCTCCCCCCTTACGCCCATCCCTGTCTCTCCTTTCCCTTCCCCCTCCCCTCCCCTCCCTCCCTTCCCCTCCCTCCCTTCCTCCCTCTCACCACCCCTCCTCTCTCTCTCTCTCTCACCATCCCCTCTCCTCCCTTTCTCTGTCACCGCTCTACCCGGGAAAAGGTTCACATAATTTACCTGACGTCACTGAGTCCGTGACGTCAAGGGAAAGAAAAGAGCTTATTGGTTCAAATTTATTTCACGCTCTGAACATTTTATTTATGCCAGATAATAATTACACAGAATACTATTGGTTTACTAATGGGTAAATAGGTTTAAAGATATTAATATGATACTATTGGTTTAAAACAACATACATCTAGCAGTAATTTAAGTAGTAATAGTAATAATAATCACATCTACGATAACTCCTTCATTTACGTACGACATTTAAGTACAAACATGAATACAATATAATTAATTACGTCAATAAACTTGATTAATTCTGTATATCAGGAGACCACCAGTTTTTTTGTTCATTGATAAAATATTACGATATCATTGATAGCAGACAGCCACGATAACAATCTGAAGAACAATTTTTTTTAAAGCTTCTTGTTGGTTGGTAAAGCTGAAGAGGACTGTAGGATTAGGTAGAGATATACTGTAGTTTTTTGTGCGGTACATTATTACATAGTTAATTTATATACAGTATACTGTATGCATACACTTACACAGTACTGTATATAACTATATGCTAGGAATCATAAATAAAATTATTTTTATACAAACATTGCACACACAAGCACACGCACGCACACGCGCACTCACACACACACACACACGCAAGCACACACACTGATAAAACTCGACTTGGTGTTTACTTTATTATTTCACATTATGTTAGCTTAGGTACAAGTTTATTTCACCTGAAGATTAGACACCCCAGCTTATTTACAGGTAAGCTACCTCGAACGCCTGGCGATACACTCACTAGACCTTTGTGAATTAGAAGAATTTACCTTTGTTTTTGTTTTATGAAAGAAAATGTGATTGTTAAGAAGTTAAAGGAATTTGATTAAACGGCCAGAGAACAGTGCAGTATGTTCATTGGTAAATTAGTGTATGTACGAGTGTGAATGACCACTAGGAAGTTAGTATGGAAATTTACGGTCTATAAATATTATACAGAAAATAGTACACAAATGTAAGTGCCAATCATGTGGTTATACGTAAGTGTGTAAATATATATGTAAATTAGTATACAAATGAGTACGAACGGTCAGTCGTAAATCAACCACAAACTCAAGGCCACAAAACACCAATATCGGCATACGTATCGGCACTAACACCGATCAAGACATCATAGGTAATATAGCACCTCAGAATATCATAATAAACTTGGTAGCTGGTGAGGGTGGGCTTGACGGGGCTGAACTAAAGATGAGTGTGAGGGGAGGGTCGCCATGGTGACACTAATGACGTCATACGGCCCCGTCTATGACGTCAGCGCTCTGGTAGGTGTTGTGCTTCTTGTTAAATTCGAGAGCTCTTCCGCGGCTGTGGGTGAAGTTGGGTTAGGTTAGGTCATGTTTAAATTAGGGTAGTTAAGGTTATGTTAGATAAAGTTATGTTAGGTTATGAGTGCTTGGGTTAGGATATGTTATGTTGAATGAATAGTAGAGCAGCTTTAATTTTGGTTAGTTTAATTTAGATTAGATTAAATTAAATTAGAGTTAGTTAAACCAAGTAAAATGTTAATCATCCCCCTCTCTCTCATTCACCAGCCCCCCTCTTTCTCTCCCTCTCCTCACCTACACCGGACGTAGCAGCAACCCAGGAGGAGAGCCAGAAGAAATCCAGCCAGAAGCCCAAGGCATGACCCCAGCACCCCCACCAACACCACCCGGCCCGTGGCACTCTGATGTACCTGTGGGACACAATACCTGTACTACGAGAGAGAGAGAGAGAGAGAGAGAGAGAGAAAGAGTAAGTGAGATAGAAAGACAGAGATAATTATAGATAGACAGACATGTATAAAGAGAAAGAGAGAGAACACGCCACCTACCACAAAAGTCTCCTTAACAGAGAGACGGGTCGAGTCGTCCTTGTCTCTCCTGATCCTCTCCATCACCGCCTCCCGCACCATCACCAACTCTTCCTCCACCACGAGGAGCGGCTCCTCCACCATCTCCTCTTGTTCATCTATCTCCACCAGCTCCTCCTCAGACGATTTTTGTCCTGAATCGCCTCCTAGGATGGTAGAAAATAGATATATAGATAGACAGAGAAGACACAATATATATATATATATATATATATATATATATATATATATATATATATATATATATATATATATATATATATATATATATATATATCACAAAGAAGTATGTCTGTGTGTGTGTGTGTTTTTGTGATGCTGGATGATGTTATATGTAGTGATGATGGGTGGTGTTATATGTAGTGATGATGGATGGTGTTATATGTAGTGATGATGGATGGTGTTATATGTAGTGATGATGGATGTTATATGTAGTAATGATGGGTGGTGTTATATGTAGTGATGATGGGTGGTGCTATATGTAGTAATGATGGGTGGTGTTATATGTAGTGATGATGGATGGTGTTATATGTAGTGATGATGAATGTTGTTATATGTAGTGATGATGGGTGGTGTTATATGTAGTGATGATTACACAATAAGAAAATAAGAGTTTAAAGCTAAAAATATGTACTTTGCTGTACCGTTGTAGTAAAAAACATGGTGGAACGTACATACACCGTTAATGAACTATTGATGGAAGAAAAAGTTTTGGGGACTGAACAGTGACACAATGTGGAACATCCTGGAGGGTGGTGTCCTACCGTGGCCTAGCGAATGAGCCGCCCGGAGGGCGGCGTTTCTGCTAGTGTGTGTGTGTATATATATATATATATATATATATATATATATATATATATATATATATATATGTGTGCGTGTGTGTGTATAGATGTAAGGCAGGCAGGCAGGCAGCTGCCCCCAGGGACCCTCCTCCTTAGGAATGGTACCATCCCCAGGGGAACTCCCATTGGCCACGGCGCCCCTAGGGACCCTCACAGGGTCGGAGGCGCCCCCAATGGACCTCCCAGGGGCGGAGTCGCCCCCAAGGGACCTCCCAGGAGCAGCGGCACCCCCAGAGACTCTCCGTAGAGGCAGCAATGCCCCACGGAAGCCCGCTCAGGGGCGGTGGTCCCAACAATGGGTTTCCAAAGTGCGATTTCAGTGTTAATGTGTTATTCTATAAATACTTTATTAGTTAAACTGCTTTAATTTCAATTCTGAGAGAAAAGAATATTTTGGTCGAAAAATTACAAAGGTGTAAGGCAAAATTTTTTTGACATTCTCGGCCAAAAATAGATTTGGTTCAAAATCTCAGTATAGGTACTCCTGAACATGCTGATTAAGGCTATGTCAACACAAATTTTATATCTGGATTATTATTACGTGTTCAAATGGCTTTTAGAAAATGTTAATTACTTTTGCAATGCTAATTACTCGCCACTTATGGGTTTTCAAGGTTCCTTTTTGGTGCTTGTGTATTATTCTGGATGTATTTAAGTAGTTAGGCACATTAAATTTTAGTTCTGAGAGAAAAAGTATTTTGGCCAAAAATCCCATTAGGGGTAAGGCTTACAAATTTTTGCATTTTCGGCCAAAAAATAGATTTTGTTCAAAATTTCAGTATAGGTACTCCTGAACATGCTGATTAAGGCTCTGTGAACCAAAATTTTATATCTGGATTATTACTTGTTCAAATGGCTTTTAGAAAATTGTATTTACTTTTGCAATGCTAATTACTCGCCACTTATGGGTTTTCAATGTCACTTTTTGGTGCTTGTGTATTATTCTCGATGTATTTAAGTAGTAAGGCACAATACATTTTAGTTCTGAGAGAAAAAGTATTTTTAGCCAAAAATCCCATTAGGGGTAAGGCTTACAAATTTTTGCATTTTCGGCCAAAAAATAGATTTTGTTCAAAATCGCAGTATAGGTACTCCTGAACATGCTGATTAAGGATCTGTCAACTAAAATTTGATATATGGATTATTGCTTGTTCAAATGATTTTTAGAATATTTTAATTACTTTTACAATGCTAATTACTCGCCACTTATGGGTTTTCGAGGTCATTTCATGGTGCTTGTGTACTATTCTGCATGTACTTAAATAGTTAGGCACATTAAATTTTAGTTCAGAGAGAAAACGTATTTCTGGCCAAAAATCCTTTAAGGCATAAGGCTTACAATTTTTGTCAATTTCGGCCAAAAAATGGATTTTGTTCAAAATCTCAGTATAGGTACTCCTGAATGTGCTGCTTAAGGATCTGTTAACCAAAATTTGATATCTGGATTATTACTTGTTCAAATGGCTTTTAGAAAATTGTAATTAATTTGCAAGTCATTTGAATAAGTAATATTGCAGATATCAAATTTTCGTTAACAGATCCTTAATCAGCATGTTCAGGAGTACCTATACTGCGATTTTGAGCAAAATCTAATTTTGGACGAAATGCCAAAAATTGTAAGGCTTACCCCTTACAGAATTTTTGGCCTAAAATACTTTTTCTCTCAGAACTAAAATTTAATGTGCCTACCTTCTTAAATACACCCAGAATAATACGCAAGCACCAAGAAATGACCTCGAAAACCCATAAGTGGCGAGTAATTAGCATTGCAAAAGTAATTAAAATATTCTAAAAATCATTTGAACATTTTCTAAAAGCCATTTGAACAAGTTATAATCAAGATATCAAATTTTGGTTAACAGATCCTTAAGCAGCACATTCAGGAGTACCTATACTGAAATTTTGAACAAAATCCATTTTTTGGCCGAAAATGACAAAAATTGTAAGTCTTATGCCTTAAAGAATTTTTGGCCAAAAATACTTTTTCTCTCTGAACTAAAATTTAATGTGCCAAACTATTTAATTACATCCAGAATAATACACAAGCACCAAGAAATGACCTCGAAAACCCATAAGTGGCGAGTAATTAGCATTGCAGAAGTAATTAAAATAATCTAAAAATCATTTGAACAAGCAATAATCCATATATCAAATTTTGGTTAACAGATCCTTAATCAGCATGTTCAGTAGTACCTATACTGCGATTTTGATCAAAATCTATTTTCGGCCGAAATGCCAAAAATTGTAAGGCTTACCCCTTACAGGGTTTTTGGCCACAAAATAGATTTTGGTCAAAATCTCAGGAAAGGTACTCCTGAATACACTGTTTAAGGATCTGTTAACCAAAATTTGATATCTGGATTATTACTTGTTCAAATGGCTTTTAGAAAATTGTAATTAATTTTGCAAGTCATTTGAATAAGTAATATTGCAGATATCAAATTTTGGTTAACAGATCCTTAATCAGCATGTTCAGGAGTACCTATACTGCGATTTTCAGCAAAATCTAATTTTGGACGAAATGCCAAAAATTGTAAGGCTTACCCCTTACAGGATTTTTGGCCTAAAATACTTTTATTCTCAGAACTAAATTTTAATGTGCCTACCTTCTTAAATACACCCAGAATAATACGCAAGCACCAAGAAATGACCTCGAAAACCCATAAGTGGCGAGTAATTAGCATTGCAAAAGTAATTAAAATATTCTAAAAATCATTTGAACATTTTCTAAAAGCCATTTGAATAAGTTATAATCAACATATCAAATTTTGGTTGACAGATCCTTAATCAGCATGTTCAGGAGTACCCATACTGCGATTTTCAGCAAAATCTAATTTTGGACGAAATGCCAAAAATTGTAAGGTTTACCCCTTACAGGATTTTTGGCCAAAAATACATTTTCTCTCTGAACTAAAATTTAATGTGCCTAACTATTTAAGTACATCCTGAATAATACACAAGCACCAAGAAATGACCTCGAAAACCCATAAGTGGCGAGTAATTAGCATTGCAAAAGTAATTAAAATATTCTAAAAATCATTTGAACAAGCAATAATCCATATATCAAATTTTGGTTAACAGATCCTTAATCAGCATGTTCAGGAGTACCTATACTGCGATTTTGATCAAAATCTATTTGTTGGACGAAATGCCAAAAATTGTAAGGCTTACCCCTTACAGGATTTTTTGGTAAAATAGGAGTTTTTGTCTAAAATTAGAGTATTTTGAATATATTAAACAGTTGACCAAAATTTGATATCTGGAATATTACTTGTTCAAATGGCTTTTAGAAAATCTTAATTACTTTTGCAAGTCATTTGAATAAGTAATAATGCAAATATCAAATTTTGGTTAATAGATCCTTAATCAGCATGTTCAAGAGTACCTATACTGTGATTTTGAGCAAAATCTATTTTTTGGCCGAAAATGACAAAAATCGTAAGGCTTAAGCCTTACAGGATTTTTGGCCAAAAGATCGATTTTGTTCAAAATCTCAGTATAGGTACTCCTGAACATGCTGATTAAGGACCTGTTGACCAAAATTTGATATCTGGAATATTACTTGTTCAAATGGCTTTTAGAATTTGTTCAAATGGCTTTTAGAAAATTTTAATTACATTTGCAACTCATTTGAATAAGTAAAAATGCAGATATCAATTTTTGGTTAACAGATCCTTAATCAGCATATTCAGGAGTACCTATACTGCGATTTTCAGCAAAATCTAATTTTGGACGAAATGCCAAAAATTGTAAGGTTTACCCCTAACAGGATTTTTGGCCTAAAATACTTTTATTCTCAGAACTAAAATTTAATGTGCCTACCTTCTTAAATACACCCAGAATAATACGCAAGCACCAAGAAATGACCTCGAAAACCCATAAGTGGCGAGTAATTAGCATTGCAAAAGTAATTAAAATATTCTAAAAATCATTTGAAAATTTCTAAAAGCCATTTGAACAAGTTATAATCAACATATCAAATTTTGGTTGACAGATCCTTAATCAGCATGTTCAGGAGTACCCATACTGCGATTTTCAGCAAAATCAAATTTTGGACGAAATGCCAAAAATTGTAAGGTTTACCCCTTACAGGATTTTTGGCCAAAAATACATTTTCTGAACTAAGAATTTCATGTGCCTAGCTCTTTAAGTACATCCAGAATAATACACAAGCACCAAGAAATGACCTCGAAAACCCATAAGTGGCGAGTAATTAGCATTGCAAAAGTAATTAAAATATTTTAAAAATCATTTGAACAAGCAATAATCCATATTTCAAATTTTGGTTAACAGATCCTTAA